AGGTTTTGGTTGGAGGCCTAGTTCACTACATATGTATGACGACGATTCTACACTCTTTTTATAAATGGTGTTTTTCTTTATTGCGTTAACAGCCACTGTTCTAAAACTGATGTGAAGAAGGAGTTGTGAGACAGCTCATGTTGTGAGTGAAAATGGGACATATTTACAGAATCTGCACAAAGTGAGCATAACCTTCCTATCTCAGCGCATCGCTGCCCTCAGAGCTGGAACATGTCGCGTCAAAGAGAAGACATACGGTTGCATATAGTGAAATGTCCAAGTCACAAGTCACAAGTCTTTATTGCTCATTTGTATTGAAGTTTCGACTCAAATGGCAGCCTGGGATTGGATTTTGCTTCAAAACACAGAATACAAAAGTAAATTTATCAATCTAAAGATTTTTTTTTTAGTTCAGAGTAAAAAACCCTTCATGCTCAGTGTTTCTGAAATGTTTGCCTACAAACTAATTCCCTGTAAATGAACCCAACTAGGCGTTAACGTGAGCTTGTGTCTCGTCTCATGGATAGAGCCATTTTATTCTGATGTCGGTGGATAGAGCATATAATATTAGTCTGTGAATAAAACCAGTGTGCTCTGTAAATAAAGCGTGTGTGTGTGTGTGTGTGATTGGCCTGTAAAGTGTGTGCGGTTGCAGAGAGTGTCGTGCACGTGTTGTTTTTGTGTAGCTCTGACCTTTGCTGGAGAACAGCTGTGAAGTCAAGTGACAGAAGAGCTGAAAATGGAAATGTCTTGACATTAAAAGTGCCAGGCTACCATCACTGAGCCCGCCTCCAGATATACTAACTGCGGCTCGTGGCCAAGTTGCGTTTTCAGAGCGCAACGCAGCCTCACAACCATTTTTATACTCGCTGCTCTGGAATTAGTCTGGACTCACAGAAGAATTCAAACATTTCTTCATGTTTTCTCAGCATGTTTAGGCAGATGGTGACTCAGAGCTGACTTCTACTTATGATGCAGGTGAAAAAATTCTGGAATGATGGGATCTTCACTAATTCACTTCTGAACCTCCACACTACACTGAGCCTTTGCTGATTTGTGTACATTATTGAAAAAGAAACCGCTTTGGCATCTAAACATTGAAAACAAAACTATACTGTGTCTAATCTCATCATGCAACAACTAAAGAGGAGTTTTCATCCAGACTGGCAATTATTAATCACTCTTGCGGTGATTCATGACATGGTTGCCTTCCTGACTTTAAAACAAGTGTTATAAAAGAAATTCACATTGCGCGAATGTGTGGGCTCGTGCCGGAGCCTATGGGTTTGCAGCCTTCCTTGTGTTGGGAGCAGATTTTTCTGCCCCAGATAGGTTCTGTTTGTTTAATCATATTAAAGGGCTGAAATCAAATATGCTAGATTAAATGACAAAACAAACAGATGTGTGTCTGCTGGCAATACGATGTCAAGAAGGTGTGCTTGGTGAGCATGCTTTCATCCATTACCACCGTTTACCGCCTCCTTTATTACCCAAAGATTAGATGCAGCCCTTGGCTAAATCTTTGTATAACTAAATTTACATTTAATATGTATTTAATTGTTTTTTTTATTAAATCAAAAAAGTCCAAACATGCAGAACTCATATATTTTCTTTTTAATGGGTGGATTGATGGTTTCATGTCCAGCCGTGTTATTATTTGTCAAAATGTATGTTAAGGTTTTGCAGCAATCTGCTCACCAGCAGAATACTGGTTCAATTCCAGAGGCCTAGAGTCCATCAGACATACGGCAACACAGCTGCTGCCGTACAAAAGATAAGCTAAACTCTCCATCATGTCATGTGGCAGCTCAGAGAGGCACGCTGCACACATCCGTCTCCATCGGCTTTTCACTGCCTGTCAGACTCTAAATATATCTGCCACAGCAAAAAAATACATAAATAAATAAATAAATAAAGGTAGCCTTAGGGGGTTGGAGCTTCAGAAAGGGGAGAGTGAGATTTAGATAAGGAAATGGTTAATAAGGAGGTAGAGTGGATTTGAAAAGGAGATAAATCAAACTCCTGAGTGAGTGCAAGAAGAAGAAAAAAAATGACGATAAAGAGTCGGTAAAAAGGTTGAAAACAGGCAGGATGTTGCTGCACAACACACGTCCTCCCAGGAGACATAAACCTTAAGGGGATACTGTGATCACTGCATGTTTGCGTGTGTGTGTGTGTGTGTTGGGGTGGCACAGTAGGTGGTGTGTGTGTGAACCATCACACAGTTTATTTATGACGGCTCCCCACTGATGGTTCGAGACAGAAGAAAACCTGCTTACGGCTCAATGCGTCTCCGTTTCACCACAGATTTTCACTTCCTCACGTGAGGCGCACGTGTTTACTCAGGTCCTGCACCAACAGCTTTTAGCTAAGTTGAAGTTTATCTTTCAAAAGAAAGTGGCTCTGCAGTAATTATCTGCACAAAGTGGAACAGATGAGTATTACCAGGTGATGCCATTAGATGTGTGTCCTGAAGCATTAAAGTTCACACGTGATTATCAGGTCATTAAGAAGTGTGACGGTCTCCGTAAAAGCAGGACTTTTGTCAGTTTTCCACTCAGGTGAACACAGGTGTGTGTTGACGTCAAGCCTAAAAGGAATCAGCGATGACCTCAAAGAAGAAGTTGTTGCTCCCCATCAATAGGAGAATCGTCCAAGGTTAGCTGGAATGCATTGTTCTAAAGAGATAAAAATTATTCGCAAGTGGAAAAACATTTATGGCAGCTGCCACTTTTCCTTGGAGTTGACATCCCAGCCAATTCACCCGTGGATCAGACTGTGCAATGCTCAGAGATGGGAGCACCAGCTCAGACGTTAAAGTTAGGTGTTAATTTTTATGATGGTGTAGTTACAAAAAGACTGGATGTATGTGGTGTGTTGCCGGGGAAAAGCATATTCTCTGTAAAAAATACATTTTTTAAGAAGTTTAGAAATACAGCTACTGATGTTTCTTGGACAGATCAGACCAGATGTTTGTGTAAAATGCACAACAGCACCATCTTGGTGAAATCCAAACACTGCATATTGAATGATGGTGGATTTAGTCTATGAATCCATTTCAAAAGAAAAAGCATGGTGGTTTACTGATATCTCAGACCTTGCAACTTTTCTTGACATGAAGCTGAATCCCAGCAGTGCAGCTGTGAGCAGCAGCACTGGAAGCTGTGGTGGAGACACAAGTAGGCCAGTTGTGATCCAATTCAGCGCTGCTCTCCCATTTATCCTGAGTGGATTCTGACCAATCAGTGTCGAGTGCTGACAGCATGTGAGAAGCGGCCATTGTAGAATCAAAAATAGTAATAAAAAATAAAGATAAAAAAGTGTTTTATATGACATCAGCTTGACTTAAAGAGCTGTTGTCTGTTGCCTAGTAACTGTAAAACTGAGATGGGCCACATCGGCACAGACTCTGGAGAATGCTTTCTGCATTTTGCTCCTCCTGACCTCTTGTTGTGAAACATACACTACATTCTCTGGGGTTGCTATAAGTGAAGAAATGTAAACATGCGTTTGTTTTATTGTCATACTTTTTTTTTTTTTTTTTTTTTGGCTTTAACTCTCAGATCCACTGTTGTGTCAGAGAGCTCACAATGTGACAGCTTGGATGAAAAGCAGCAGTAGCGTGAGGTCAGTCCGGCTAAGGGAATAATTCGTGAAGCCACCGGCCTCTTGGAGAGGGCAGCGTGGAAGAAATGTGACAGTCACTGCCCTGTTTCTCTGCAGGGTCCTCAGGGGCAACACGGTGTGGGACGTGCATAAATACCACCAGAATCTCTGGGATTGCACCGGTTTCCATACGCAGGACAGAATCCACACATTGTATTCTTCTTCACTCATTAAACTTCACTTTCATGTGCTGCTGAAGACCAAATGTTCATTAAACCAACTTTCATATCTACGACGGAGCTTTAGGGCCATGGTAAGAAAAAACAAATTAAAAGCCATAATATTACGAGAATAAAGTCGTACAAGACTTCTTTTTTTTTTTTACAGCTCTTGTTTTTTAATTTTTTTCATGAGTCAGATCCTCAATGTGACCTGTCAATCAATCCAGTAGGCGTGTCAGCAAACGACCAATCCGAAGCTAAATGCTCCGTACCTGCAGAGAGCAGTTTCGCATTGGTGATTTGCTGACACGCCTACTGGATTGAGTGACAGGTCGCATCATGAATCCGACTTGTGGAGGAAAAAATAAGTAAAATAAAAACAAGAGATGCAAAAATAAAAGTCTCGTACAACTTTATTCTCGTAATTATATGGCTTTTAATTTATTTTTCTTAGCGTGGCCCTAAAGCTCCATCGTACATATCCACAAAAAATACCAGAAGGAAAGAAAAACACAAATTCTCTCTCACATGCTCGCTCTATTTTAGATAGTAAAATAATTCTGACTAAACGTAATTCTGCCCATTCTGTTGTATAAAACAAACTACCAGGATTGAATGAATTTATACTTTAAACAATTTGCACGTGTGAGTGAGTGCAGAGCCTCCAGCAGCTGTACCAGACCTCCAGGCCGAGCTTCTCTGCAGGACTTCCTGTCCCTGGATTCACAACATGGCACTGAAATTAGACGTTACGGAGAGGGAGGATTAGAAACCAGTAATCAAGAGCAAGCATCATCATTTTCATAACCTGGAGCCACGGCACCTGCAAAGAGATTTTCTTTGTTCTTTTGTCTGTTTTGTAATGTATTTATTTATTTGTTTATTTATTTATTATGAGCGCTGTCTCTGAGAGCTGTAGACGTTTTCAGGCTCACTGGAGGCATTCCAATAGATCCATCAATTTGGCAAAGCAGTGTGTGTGAAGCATAAGAGTCATTCCCTGGGGAGGCAAATGCAAAG